GTGAGGGGTGAATTCGGTGAAAGTAGAACGTAAACACTCTCTGGCCATGTTTGAACGCTAGAACCACCAAAGCAGACAAATTAACTGGTTCGTCGACATCTATGAAAATGTTTAACGAGATTCCTTATCATTGAATGATATAATTTTATTTATTTCCAATCACCGAGATGTTTCGCCACCGATATTGCAATATGAGAATGAAGAAATTCGTTAATTTAGAAATTTGCGTATGTTATTAAAAAGACTGTCACTTTTGTCGAACAAATAAAAGGGGATTTACCAGTCCATCGTTGATAACTCTAGAAATAAACATTTGAAACGAAGAGAATAGTATGGTAGATGTCCTAATTACTGCCATTTTAAGATAGTACCGTAATTTCATTTAATCATTTTAAGTGTTGTTTAATCTAAAAATCGTCTCAATTTCAATCATAATATATTGTATATTAAATACGATGAACTAATTAATAATTAATTAAAATCTGCGAGAAATGCCAACATCTCTATATCTGTCACCTCAAATATTAATAGTAATTCTTATATACTTTAACAATTAATTTTGTACAATACATACAGATTAACTAGTAAAATTGCGGCTCTTTCTTTATTATGATTTCGCTATCGCGTCTGACTTACGCAGTTGCGTTTTTGACGCTCAAATTACACTTTCATGTTTTAACATTAATTTTTATATACCAGGTACACACAAGTACATGTCTTTCTTTGTTTGCACGTAAATCGGAGTCCTAATGTGGTAATCAAATTTTGTTGTGCACTTTAACGTTACATTTTTATTAACACATTCGCTACCAGCACATTATTTCGAAAATGTTCGTTACGCTAGATTTTCACCTTTCTAGTCAACGGAATATCTTTATCTTTTTGATCAGAAATTAAAAGTACACAAAATAGAAATTATAACTGACACAAAATATAGGTGAATATTGCAAAACCCATTCCACTTTTATTTAAGAAAATATGCTGCTGTGTAATCGAGGTGTGATGCTGTGAACTTAACACTGAACGTGTTAAGTAAAACCAGACCTGGGCATTTCTTAAATTATATTACTTGAAATATTATTTCAAATAACATGTTATTTTATTTTCTAGTCATTTGAAATAATTGTGAAATTGTTCTTTGAAATTATATCAGATGACTAGGTCTGAGTTTGATTTATTGACATTTTTCTGTAGGGGAACACTCCTGTTCCATTTTCCACACCAGTAGAACGATTATTTTCTTTCGAGACAATATTAGATGGACCGAAGCAAAAGTCTCTGCTGGATGAGCTATTCGAAGAGCGGACTCTGCTTAAAGCAAATTGCTGTAATGATTTCTTAAAATAAAATCTTTTTGTTGCAAATTATTTTGCATATTTTGAAATACTTCATGAATGTTTAAATACAAAAATAACAAAACAATTCATTATTTGAAATTGCTATTATTTCATATGTATCGATAATATTTTTATTTTCACATAATACTATTGAATACAAAATTCCGAAATACATTATTTCAAATAATTATTTCTTATTTTCATTTCAAATAAAATTTGCCCAGGTTTGAGTAAAACAAATAAAATACCAGTATTAGTGACACAGACAGCAATTGTGAGAGCCAGAGTGTATTAACTCATACATTTGAAAGTTTAGTAGAGAGCAAATAAAAGAAACAGTCGCTACCTTCGAACTATTGAATGGACTTAAGACAACTCCTCGATGTGTAGAAATGGTGAACATTGCATTAAGTCCCCTATACGATAGACATTACATGGTTTGACTCGGAGCAAAATATGGACTCAATATAATTATCACACTATTATATTAAAAACTAAACGACTTAGAGGGAATTAATTTTTACCATCAGTTGGATTGAAATATTTTTTAAACAAATTTTTAGTAATATTTTTATTTTTAGAACTATTTTTTAGTAAAATGTCATTTGTCAAAAAAAGTGGACTTAATACAGTCTGGCTCTGAGGTCCAGATATTCAGTTATGCAGTAGAGTCTGTTGCAATGACGGAGAATTCAGAAATAAGAAAGATTACCAACGTTAACAAATCGCCCGTATAATTCACGTGTACGCACACGCACAATGGAATCGTCCCGTGGATCGTGCGTGTAACGAGCGATTCAAGGAAACCGCTACATTCGAACACCGCGGCAACTGTATACGTGACCTAGACACTGCAACCCCCTCGCGGGACACGGCATTCAGCTGTCGTCCGTGTCTATTGCTTTGTGATTCGATATTAGAAAAATTCCAAGCAAATATCCGGTAGAACCTTGCACGAACTACCAATTATCTCCGCGCTTCTCCTTCGTTCCCTTCTGTCTCCTTCGCGCCACCGTCTTTGCTCGTTCGCACCTCGTGCTATCGCAAACAAATTAAATCGAATGCGACGTTATTTACAGTTTGTTCCCGCGTACTTCCTTGTTCTCGAATTTCCTTCCTCTATTCTCCTCGACTAGTCATCCTTTCCCACATTATAGTAAATTCAAGCACATTACTAGAGATTCTTTCGGCCTTATCGTGCTTATATTTTAACTTCACTTTATTCCTATTCAAGTAATGTGTATCCTTGCCTTTACCCATCCTTCCATATTGTATGAAAATCAAATACATTATTTGATATTTCTTCCAATCGTTTTATCGTGATTGTAAGTAAATCTATTAATTCTATTCTATCCAGTGTTGATTTTATACGATGATAATTTGAAATATTTTGTATGTAACTTTTCATTTCTATCTTTATTTTCTTTACTTTCCGACTTTATTTTTATTGTATTTTATTTTACTGAAAATGCAAATTCAACTTTTTATGTTTATTTATGAAGGTCACGCCCACTTTGCGCTTAGTAGTGACCATGAAAGCATATAATATAACGTACTTACATGATTAATGCAATTTTTCAATTTCATTAATTATACATATCATTACTACAGGTACGGTTTTATAAACGTCTATGATTGTGCCTCGAGTTTTAATTGATTTAATATATTGGGTTGTACTAAATGTATGTAGGTTCTGTCAAATCCATAATAAAACTATAATAGGAATAATAATACTAAGAAGAATATTGTATAAAATCACAAATGTTCAACATTTTGCTTTTGAATCGAATTAACATTTTGCCTATTACACATGGGTGACTTATTCTGAAGATAAAAGTTAATATCTGTAATAAAATGTTTAACGAAATAAACTTTTCTCACCTCCATTAGCTTCGAGAATATTAAAAAATGAGGATTTTGATAAATGCATTTCATTTTTTTTAACAAGACCATTCTAACCCCATGAAAATTTTCTGACAACAAAATCTGGTCGTATTTTGAGCCATTTATTTTTAACACCAGAACCATCAAACCCGTCAAAACGACGGATTTCAAATTTCTTCGTTTACTATTACTGAAATCATAAATGTGTTTCTGTTAGAATTTTGATGTTGGCTTGTAATTTCTTATAGGTATATTTTAAAATATACAATATACTATATTACAATGTAATGCATTACATATTATACGTATCAATATATTATACAATTTAATGTAGTATAAGTTTAATGCTGTTCTTTCTTATTCTACTATCCTTCATCAGGATAAAATGGTTTTATAACACAAACCGATAGAAGAACCTCAGAGGCTCTCAGTACAGAATAAGTGAAATCAATAATTCTAAAATATTTTCCTTCCCTTAATTATTATTATTTATTCAGTAAAATAGTGACATTAAAATTTTAATTATATATTTTATGTATATATTTTTCGTTATAAAATAAAAAAAAGCCTCAGAGGCTCTTCAATCTCGATTAGTTAGAAGGTTAACGTAGTATAAGTTCACTTTTTTTTGTTTCTATATCGTAATTTATTAAAATCCATTCGTCACCATGTCAACCATACAGTGGCTGCCAATAATTTCCAGCCAAACTGTAATTCTACCAAATTTTCGTTATAACTAGACTGCGGAAGTTTATGCAAATTCACAACTTCAGATACCAATACTTAAAAATTAGAACGTTGTAGAATTTTGTAATTCTGTACTACAAGCTTCACTACGTTAATAATAAAACATAGATAGCATCAAACTTGACTGAAACCTTTATTTTTTTTTATTTTCCAAGTCAAAAGATGCTATAAATGCATAAACTTCTGCAGTCTAGTCATAACCTGTATCAATCCAGTACTTGTTAGAAAATAGAAGAATTTGTAATATCACAAAATCCAAAGGAGCAATGTATCCTGAATACGGGTACATCACGAGTTTATTCGTATTATATATTTTCAAACAGATACAATGAAATTACTAGACCGCGCATCCTCATGCAAATATCAATTTTCAAAAAACATATTTACAGAAACTAGAAAAAGAACGGAACTCTTTTTACTGCATCAAAGGTTTCATAAACTCCCACATATAATGAAAACCATATAAAAATTTATTAAACATTTTACTATACCGAATTTCAGAAAATTGGGTTACGCCATAAATGCATAGATTCCGCAGTCTAGAAATTACAGTTTGGCCGGAAACGTTTAGCAGCCACTGTGTCCCATCGATTTCCGTCGAAATTGGCCAAACTTCATTTTCAAAACGAGCCCAGGTCGATTGCATCTCCATCCGTGCGCCGTTTTAAGAAATCCTCCGTTCCAACCATAAATAGAAGCCACCTACTCACTGTATCCGTACCTCCTGTCTCATCCTCTCGAAACATTCCGTAGGTCTCTCGACGACGGCTTCCGGTCGTACCGTAAAATTCGTCCAATCGAAAAAGAAAAAAGAAACAAAAAACGGTACACGGGCCCGAGATCCCAGTTTTCCTCTCGCGACGTATGAAAAATCTCGGTTCTCCGGTTCCATCCGAGCGCAATTTTTCCGAAGATGCACTGGTCAGAAGAAGTGCATTGTGAAGAGGGCAGGGATGACCCCTTTCACTGCACCACGTTGCTACGGTCGTGTATATAAAGAGCCGTAGCATCTGACGAAGAAGCACAAGTACCAACCCATCAGCATCCTAACCGCTTCATCGCCGGTGTCCGTGTGACAGAGAGATTATGTTCACTATCAAGGTAGGTGCGCACAGTCCGTAAGACACGCGACCGACACAGTAGCACGCCGGACTCTGTGTCCATCGGCGCGCAAGAGTATATACCGCGAGTTAACCGTCTGTTAGCACCGCGGTGAGTTAAACGATGGTTGTTTCGTGGCCGGGAACTTTGATTCAGGGGGATAGAAATATATAGTATAACTGTGGGGAAAATGAAAACGACCGTCCTTCCTCATCGCACATTCTGTACGTTCGGTTCGCTGGTTTCACGGGCCCTCTATGGGAATCGACGGATTGATAGCGGATAGAGGTAACGGTAGGAAAATTCGAAATTTTGTTTTAACTTGTCTGGAACTCAAGACGTCCTATTTTACTAGGTAATTTGTGTGAACAGAATTAAATAATGGTTCTCTTGGTATGTTCCTTTTGAGGATACCATAGCCGTGGTTTACACGATTTCAATTTTCTGTCAGATTTATTTTAACTCGTGTTAATACGGGGTTCTATATACTGTATCGATGGAATTTACGCAAAGCCGTGTACACTCGTATCGACTAGGCGTAATTTTCTTGTTTTTTTAACTATATTCTGTTGTTTCACATTGTAAAAACTGTGACTTTACAATTAATGAATATTTATCACACAATTTCGTATCTTATCATTTTTTTTATACGAACGAGTGAATACGGATGTGAGAGTTTTTCATTTTTAGAGGGGCAATATTTTCTAAAGTACCATTTTTTTTATTTTACTGTGATACTTTCATGAGCATAGTGGTCGTTTGCTACCTTCATAAAAAAAAATTCGGGAAATTTTCACCGATTTTTGCAAAATAATTAGGTTCTTAAGGGATTAAGTACATTTAGAAGAGTTACATTACAATTCTCCATTATTTCTCTGAATTTGTTCGCTCTACTGCAATTGTTTTTGCTCTTTATATTTACTTTGTTTGTGTGCAATTGATTTGCCTGTGTTTATTCATGGAAAATAAGACATGACCCACTGGATCACGCCTAACACAAATGTGTTAACAGACGATTCGTGTAATACTAGGAAATTATTCTTTTCTGATGTTCTAGTCTGTTTTGTTCCCCATCTAAACGCTGCATTTTTAAACATTTTAATTGTTCAACGGAAGATCAACAAGTTTAGAAAACATTTGATAAAAATGCATATCTGCATCTACGAATTTTCCGACAGTGTTTCATTTCTAAGTTGAATATCTGTGATTCTTGCTAGTGAAAGATTTCCTCCGATAACATTGATAAAACACCACGTTTACACTGCTATCTTACAATCGTATTATGCTTACTTTTCTCATTATTTTACTCTTCTTTCTTTTTTTAAATATCACATTTGTGATAATTTCCGTCGTCAAACCTAAAAACACATGAACTCACAATATTTCTCTGTTACTTTACGTCTATATTCCTCCATTTGATTACGCTAGATAGATCACAGAAAGGTGTCGCTTCTTCGCGACTTCTTGAACTACGAGGTCAATTAATACATACAAAAAATGGTGCAACGACTTTGAATATATGGAAACTGTTATACAGTTTCAGATAAGACTAATTAATACGACATAAAAGTGATCACGGAACGCTGAGATCTGTTTATTAGTGATCATTAGACTGCGAATTTTGTGCAATCGATCAATTTTTCGAAGAAATTTTTATTTTTTTTGTAACCTAGTAGAATAGTAAATAAAGCAAACTGATCTTGGTTTGACTACAGTTCCTGTAAATTAATGGTTAAAAATCTATATTTGCATAAACATACGCAGTCTAGTGATTATGTAAAATACTCGGTATCCCTCAATTTTTTTCGTTCAACGCATAGAAAGGGTGCAACGTCTTTCAAAATATTAAAACGCATCTACAGTTTCCGATAAGGCTAACTAATACGACGTAAATCACGAAATGCTATGATTTGTTTATTAGCGATCATGTAATATCGTAGTCGGTTTCCGCCCATTTTTTTCCGTCTCGTGTCATCGCTCTGCGTGCACGCGATAACGTTCGTCGCAAAATAAAACGCGTTGAATAAACAGAGAAACATGAGCATCAAGGGTAAACGAAATATTTTGCTTGTTTCATTTTTTTATCGATACACACCGTAAAACAAGGCGCGGGAAACGCTAGCCGGCCAATGGGGGGAATATTGTCTTTAACGCTGTTCAGGGTTTTCCGTGGTAATGCTGAAATGCGATATCAAAGTAATAACGTTACATGCGCCGGTAATGGCCCCCCCTTTGTATAAATTGATCCGATAATGCGTGACCGATTCATCTTCCCCTGTCGCGAATTTTAGCGAAAAATCCTATCAAGCGCGCCAAACCAAATTGCTGTGTGTAACCGGCACGCATAAATATTATTTAAAGCCGATAATTACATAAACTTTTCACGGTCTGATCACCAGGTTCCCTCGTATTCCTAATTTTGTAAACATTTTTTTGATTATTCAGTGCGTGTCTTTAAATACAACATTTTCAATATAAGACGTTTGTATACAGTTCTTTATAAAACGCTTTAGTATTCACAATATCGGCCAAGATGATACCAGGTTTCAGATATTATCTAAGAATGAAGCATTAGTTTGTAGAGATTTGTTAATAATCATGTTATTTGTAGGTTTATCAACGATATGTGCGTTGGGTTTTTGTATATTTTATAATGATGTTATATTATCTGGTCTTTAATTGTGGAAGCTGATCTCATAATTGTAATCAATAGTGTCTTCAATTTTTTCAGTAGAGGATCCTTAAACTCTTTTTGGCGTATTAGTTTAAATGCAATCACATTTTGATATTTGGCATAAAGAATACAAAACCTCTTTCAAAATTTTATACCCTCTTCCCTGTAGTCAGTACTATCCGAATCTCAGACAGATACATTCATTTATTTTTAGCCAGAGTTGGGTACAATGTTTAAAAAATTTAATAAGCAAGTAACCCTGATCTTTAAACAATTAATGATATTAATCCGATCACTGTATCTTTTTGATATCTCGTAGAAAAACTTTTTCGGTAAATCAGAAACCAATAGTGATTTGAAGATTTTTTGAAACATTTTTTAAAAATATTTTTTTATATACAATGTATTTACTCACGATAAATAACAAACTAGTAATCACACTAATACCGTTTTTCTAATGTTTGGATCTCATTTAAAAGTGTTTCGTACTGCCGATCGGCAAGAAATGTTCCAGATTTTATAACTAAAGTGACAAAGTAGGCGTCTATTGTAGTAGACAAATGCAGTTCGCGGGTTGAATAATTGTTTACCAAGTGTCTATTCATCCATGCAAATAACATTATTCTAATATAAACATTTAAATTTTCACATTTAATCAATTAAAAATGACGAAGTCTTTTTTTTATATCTTTTATTCATTGTTCGAAACTCTTTACCTAGATAATGAATTTGCCACATCTCTGTTCTCAGTCACCTTCGTAAATTTCAGTCTCGGTAATTCTCGATCCTTACGCACGCACAGTGAATCACAGAAGTATTCCTACTCTCGCAGTTCTTGAATTCGAATACCTAATAATTCTTTAACAATATATATTCTAAAATGTTTCTCAACGCGGATATGTAGAGCAAGAACTAAGCTTTCGAATTATGCGTCGTTTATTGAAAAATATCAATTCATAGTAATGTAAATGAAAACCCATAGTAATATAGTATATAAATTCATAGTAATATAAATGAAGCTCACAAAGGTATTCGTACTCGTACCAGTTTTATCCTTGTGAAATCAAAATATTTGCACATATTCGTAGCTCCATAAATTGTACGAATTAGAATACTTTTACGACATTGCATTTTCGATGATTTGTGTAAGTTTCCATTTACGTATATTACTATTTTCAATGAATAATGTATCATTCGAAAACTTAGTTATTGCATAATATAATCTCATTGATAAACGTTTCAGAATGTTATTATTAAGATAAGATTAAAGGTTCAGATTAAAGAATATTGATCATTCGAATTTAAGAATTGCGAGGGTAAGAATACCTCTGTGACTCACTGTATATTCCGACGAATAGATTCGGTCGAGTTGTACATTTAGTAACCGAATCCGACGATTTTCGTATTTGCGTGTCAACGCGCGACGCCGACCTTAAGCACACACTGGCCGACGATCCTTTCCCCGTGAGCGTATAACATTTAAATTACGCAGGAGTTGCATCAGGATAATTCTACGGCCGATTACCAGCGCCTAGAGTTTTCGTTATTACCGCTTATGTCACTTGTCCAACTGGACACGGCGTTGTGACATTTCCATTCTGTTTTTCGACGTAGAAAGTACTTTCGGCGGCCGTACGACGGAAAATTCGAAACTTTCTCAAGATTGTCTCGCGATTGAATAGAATCGCCGACGGTAGAATCGGAAACAACGAAATTCGTCTGAAGATGAATCCAGGATTATAGGACTCTCATTGTTCTCCAGCCGACCGTATCTACGTCGAATCGATCCATCGTTCCTCGGTACGGGCATTAAAAAAAAAAAAACGAGGCGTTCGAACGTCTGTTCGTTAGCGATGGCCGTTGCGATTGCATACAATCAAAATTAACGGAATTCGAAACGAGGGAACACTGGGGACGGGCGCGAAATTAAGAATAGAATTATCATGACAATTACGTGGAACGAGGCGCGCGATTGCGTCACGGTTGCCACTAGTGTCGACATCATTTTTTTTTCCGCCGTACAATCGTTGGGGGGCAGCTGACACGCGACACGGGGAACAGACGCGTGTTCTGTTCGAGGGATTCGAATTGTGGCATTTTTCGCGCCATTTCGTTTGTTCCGTTACGCCATCTGATACGTGACCGCGATTGTGAAGGTGGTCCGTATTGGTAACGTGTGACAATTGAATGTGTCCGTTGTTTAGTGTTACGGTTAATATGTACTAATAATAATTGTGGAGTTGTTCAGATTTATTTTGCGTTAGGTCGATTTTTTGCTATAATAATTATAAAGAAGTCTACAGAGATTTACCTTGCAAGAAGCTTA